GCCACATTGCCCAGGCTGGTCTTGAACTCCTGAGCTCAAGCAATCCAACTGCCTTGGCCTCCCAAAGTGCTGAGATTACAGGTGTGAGCCACCGCACCCAGCCGAAGATATTTTTTTAAAACCACATTTAGAGGTCGGGGGCCTCTCTAAGCTCACTATTGTTCTCTCAGTACAAGCCATGTACCCAGATGCCTGCTCCCCAAGAGGAAGGGATAGGCAGTGGCAGGTAACTACCCCTGCCTGTCGTGGAAGAGACCCCTAGAGTTAGGCTTCTGCACCAATATTTTCTATTTCTACAGAAAAATCAGTTTGAATCTTATTCTTGATGTCCTACTGAGCAAGAAAGGGCCTCTGACTATGGGAAAACAGGCTTAGACAAAGAAGTGAGATCAGAGGCTTGAGGCCTACCGCCTGTGAGAGTTGGGCCCGCCTGTTCCTTCCTACTCACCTCACTCATTACCAGTCCCACTGCCTTTTTTTCACTTTCACCACTATTTAAGAAACAGGTGCTGTTGAGGGTTTCATTCTGAGAACTCAGACCTGCGTACATCCTCCCCACCCTTTATTTCAGATTTTAGCATTACTGATTCAAGCAAAAACACACGGTAAAAAAAAATAGCACATTCCCCAATTTCTTCATGTCCACTCAAAGTAGCGAAGCTGTGGAGTGATTGGCTTTTAGTGGGACCTCCCAATTCAAAGAATTTCTGCAAGTCCAAAATTATGATTTCAACGAGAGATTCAAACAGATAGCAGTTATTGAATGTCAAGGTACAGTAAGAAGAGATCAAAAGGAAAAGATACTAGCCCTGATGTGTGTGTGTCGGGGGGCGGTGGGGGGTGTATTTGTGTGTTTGTGTGTGTTGAAAGGATAAGCAAAAATATGAAATGTGTACACAAAGAATCTTTCTATTTCTGGTTTTCTCCAACTGTAGGTACACTTATTCTAATAAGGATAGACTCAATCAAAGGTAAAGAGACAAATGATTATAAGCTAAACAATGGTATGGCCATTTGATAAAATATACCTAAAACCTGAATCAAATATTTTACCTGCCTTTCCAACCATATCTTCCACTAGTCTTGCGCCCAGATACTTCACCACCACCCTGGTGCCTCTCCTAAAATACAATGTTCTCATTTTCTGGATGATCAGAAATAGACACCAAGGCCAATGGATGGGGCCCAGAGAGGGTTGTGAGTTTAAGCTACAAGGGGTTGTATGAAGTAAATGAATTGTTCTGGCTATCAGCCCACAGGAATTTCTACCTCAGCCTCCAGGACACAACTTTACATGACTAAAGATTATTTAACAGTTCTTTTCTCTTGTTAAACCTTAAGCTGCCTTAACTTGCCAACAGGAATCCCCTTCCCAAAAAGTAGAAGCGACAACTCCCATATCCAGGCTCTATTTTATGAAGTTACAGAGCTGTAGGATCAGTTTTACTTTGCCCACAGTGCCAATGACATTTAAAAGGCAATCTAGTCTAAGGAGTCACTTAATTGCAGAATTTTTACGCAGGCCGAAAAAAAAAAAATCATTACTAGATTCATCAAAAGAAAGTTCAACTAGCAAAATACTTTTTAACCCTATGAGGCCAATGCGTACCTATGTCCCAAATGCACAGATTCCTTGACTCTATTTTAGCTAGGGAAAGAAGTGTACAATCTCAACCAGAAGAAAATCAGAGTAGCTGGGCTCTGAACAGTTCTTCAACCTCCTCCTGCTGAAGCCAGGGAGGGCGTCTGGAGGAGGGTCACGCCAATCACCCACGGACTGAGTTTTCCATGTGTTTGGATGCTTCTGTGGGGTGCTGCGTGAGTTCGTGCTAGACTCACACAATGGAGTTAATGTTCTTTGCAGGTTTGGATCAGAAGACCGGCCTCACGTTAGATGGCCATGGGCACTAACAACATTGATAAACAGGTTTGTGGGGCCTGGAGGTGAAAGCAAAGTTCAAGGTCCCTGGCTTGAAATTATTGAGCATCCCTACTCCCAATCTACTGATCCAGCTAGAGGAGGAAATGAGTGCTGGAAATTAGAAACCAGGGAATTAGCTGCAAAAACTTTCACCAAAGGCCAGGTGCGGTGGCTCATGCCTATAATCCCAGCACTTTGGGAGGCTGAGGGGGGCGGCTCACTTGAGATCAGGAGTTTGAGAGCAGCCTGGGCAACATGGTGAA